TGAACATCCGACTCCTTAAACACAAACAAGACTTTTTTTAGGTGACATGAGCTAAAATATACGTGCTGGACCGTTTATCACAACATACAGCAGAGAACCTCAGATTACAGCGAACACACAGAGGGAGCGTGACTTCAGTCTCTGCCCAGGATGCCACTATTCTTGGCTGCTATATAAATGCTGTGAATATCTTATAAAGGTCCTTTAAGTCACATTACTGTCCACGTTTCCATTATGTGTACAGAACAATAGTTATTACCTTATACTGATCTACAGACCATCCTTGTGTCAGTTCTTTGCAAAATATCAAAAAAATTTGCAATCCATTTGTAAATGAATCCCATACACAGTTTTGAGAGCCAAGGGAAATGTTGCTCAGTCAACCCTCGGCCAGGTGGTTAAAAATGCAGTAAAAAGGACCAAAAACATGCAGCATAACATGGCAGAAGACAAACAAAGAAGCCACAGAGGGTGCCCCCATCATTTGTGATTCCACAACAGGACAACAGTGCTTTGTGTCTGCACCCTCGCCCAGTCTGTAGCATGCAGACAGGCCACAACAGAAGCCTCATAACATGGCACGGAGGGGAGTTTACCCAAAACACTCTATTGTAAACAGAGGATTGAAGACTGCCTCTGTCAACATGTGTTTTTGACCTTGACCCTCAAAAGTGCAGTGTGGTGGAGTAAAGCCAGACACACAGCATTCCCAGTTTGAACCTCATGCATGATTTTATTATGTCACTTAGTCATAATAGCATTTTATTGATGAATACTTGCTTACATTTCCTCTGACACTGAATATTGTGTTATATTGTGACGCCTCTCCTAACAGCCTCGTATAAATCGCAAGCCTGTCACGTCTTGCAAGTCCATGTCTCTTCAAGTGCCTCTGTTTCTCATAGAAGAGCTTGGGCTGGATGAGAGCAGGCATTAGCCACAATGACATGAGAAATCAGCTCTACTGTTGTGGTATGTGGTGTTCCTCCACAGCCTTTAAATTCATCCTCTGTATAAAGGAATGTTTGCCCGAAATGCTCCTCAGTCATCAGAAGCTAAATTAACTAAGAATGGCTTTTATAACATCCAACTCCATAAATATTCTGAAAAATTGCTAAGAAGATGTGACAGGTCAGCTGAGATGAGACAATATGTTAGTTGCTTCCTTTTTAGGCCATGTATTGTTTTCACTAGCAGCTGGATGGTACTGTAGTTAGTCATGTGTGGTGTAAGGGCTTGTGTTACGAGAGCTTGTTACAGGGCTAAAATTTCCATCATCCAGTCAATTTATTTGTCAGGGGGAAACAAGCAGAGACTGATCCCTCCCCCCCCCCCCCCCCCCCCCCCCCCCCCCCCCCCCCACTAGGGCTAGCCATGTCGTGACTGAAGCTATTACATCTCTTGTTTTACAATAAAAGACATCATGACTAGGAAGGAAAACAATTTGGCAAAAACAGGTTTTTACAAATTGCAACACTTAAAACCAATTATTCAGTTGTACTTCTTAGTCATAGACAGAGTATTTGTTTGGGTTTTCTTGCCACATTTGCTTGACCCAGTTAACTCCAACTATGCCAGATTGCCTTGCTTTGTTGTATTTATAGAATTGACTATAGATCTGCAGTAACCAGACCAACTACTTTTATAGTTATCTCGTCAAAGGACAAGCTGGATTTCTTAAAGAAGTGTCACTTTCAGGTTGTTGTTTTTTTTAAAGATTCTATGATTTATTTTTTGAAACTGCCCGATTAAATAAAGGTTAAATTGCACAATATGATTGCAGCATGTGGACCTCAAATAAAAAACAGATGGTCTTAAGAGTTAAGTCAAAGATTGTCAAGTCGTCCTCTTTTGTGAGGCTTGATAAATACACAGACTTGGAATTAAAAAGACTTAATCATTTTCACAGGTGTTTTCAAAGCAAGGGTGGAGTGTCTGGTGAGTTCACTTAGTGTAGTATTGCCAAATGAACTCGGGGTGACAATATGGCATTGAATTGTGTAGGCCCAATTGCCTTTTATCAGAAACATGTTTCCGTCGACTAATTGAAGCCAATTGTGCGGCGCTGACTCTCTGACACAGCTCTGTCTGTCTAACTTCTGCAGCTGTCCAGATGTTAATGAGGCCAAACATCTGAAGTGTCTTGATGTTGTCCGCCCTTTTTATGAATAGCCGCCGCATTACAAGTTGTTGTTTGACTCATGCTTCCCACTCTTTTTGTGATACACTGCTGTAGCACATTATGTCAATACCCTTACTCTATTACACATACATTCACTGCTCATAGCTTAGGTGCACCTGTGTTACGGTAAGTATAGCATATTTTTTTTCTTGCTTTAATTCATATATCATCACTTGCAACCTTAGTAAAATCTGAGATTCCTATGCACTTTGATCCAGAAAAAAATGCAGGACCTGAAGGCTAAGGAGCACATTCCATTTACCTATTTAATTTCATTTTACTTCCATATGTTTTTTACCATATACTATATTGTTTTTACCTTTTACTAAAATCTTAAAGCATCTTTGACATTTTTCCATCACCGCAGAGCTAGATTGAGAACATTGCTGGCAGATAACATGCACGAAATAAAACAATATCAAGACAGAGGTGGTGCCACCAAAGGGGGGCCAGGGGGGTTGTAGCCACTCTGACATAATTGCTGCACCCCACTGGCCAACCCTGGTGAAAATACTTGGATGCCAACATCATTGTCTTTAAGAGGCAGTGGCACACTTATTTTTTAAGCAAGTGAAGGTTGTGGTATCTTGTGAAACAAGACAACCTAAGGCATCCATTGGTAGCTACTATGCTGGCATAGATTGTTGGGAAGGGGGCTAAAAATGCTTCAAAATGTATTTAAATTTTGGCAACAACTGGCATGGCCATTTTCAAAGGGTCTCTTGAACTCTCACCTCAAGATATCTGAATGAAAATGGGTTCATTAGAGCTTTGTATGTGTCTTTTTGAAAAAAATGATAACCATCCTATTTGAAGAACAATGAATTGCCTAACATGTATACAGATACATAATACATGAAAACAGGATTGTTATGGAACTCAAATGCTAACTGTTCCCATATTAATCTATGCATATCAGACAATTAGAAACAGCTAGCCTATGTATTTCAACAGCATTATCGAATTCCTGAAATTCAGTTATGGCTTTTGGTTTTGGTTTTGGTGTGCCACCCCAATGTTTTCAGTGGCGCCATCTCGCCACCCCGTTGAAAAATTTCTGGGGGCACCACTGTGAAACAGTACATGAAAACTTGATCATGAAAGTTTATTCTTGACTTCTTGGAAAAAATTAGTTTGATTAAAACAGACTAAAGACGAAAAACAAGAAGATCCAAAAAAGTCAACAATAGCATTGACTTTCAAACTGTCAAATGTGCTTCTGCATCTCACTGAGCTGTGTCCATGACAAATGAGCACTCTATCCACTGATGAAGACCATGAGATGCGGTGGAAATCCTCCGTAACACATAACATATCTTCATATACCATGAAAAGCCTTAAAAGTTGGTCAGTAGTCTTTGTTAGGATGGCATTTTAATGATCATGTAATTCAGTGGAAACCCTCAAAAATGTATTTCCCAATATTCCCTCTGCAGATGAATTCAGTCATGCAGAAACATCTCCAAAAGAGCATATTTGTCCATCAACACCCTCAGAATCAACTGGCTGCCTAAGTGACAAAGAAGAGGCCGTCCTTGTTCTCTGTCACCTTCTTTCCTGTTTTACTGTCAACTGTCCAGTGCAGTGACAAAATGCCATAAAAAAATGTGTATCATGTTGCATTGAATTAAGTATTATTACCCTGGTGCTACTTTCCACCCACATGGACAGGTATTTGCTGACTTATTTTCCCCTTGCCTTGTTATTGAATTCTTGAGAGCTGGTAAAATTCTAAATTTATTAGCAGACACAATAATAGCAAAAGCAATCTTCCTGTCTGTATTTTTATTTTCTACTTGACTTGGAACAGTTTATGATCTTTGCTTTGACAGTTCTCTGTAACACATAATGCTGCTGTTGTTACTTGGTGACTTATAGATACCCATGGCCCATTGAGGTGCTTTTGGGATTGAACTAACTGGCCAAGCCACATATTAGGTTCTCTTATTGCCTATTAACATTACAAAATGATTGTGATCTTCAATAATTAATTGAAGTCAAAGTTCATTTCTTACCATAATTTACAGTCTGTTGACAGCACAGAGAGTCAGATATGGTTGAGCTGACGTGGCTAACATTAAAAGTGGCCAATGAAAATACAAAATAGATTTGCTCAGATTTGGTTCACTGACAAATAGATTTGGATGGGAGTCTAACAGTGGGGGATGAGTGTATACCCTGCCAGATTAAGAAACCAGGCTTTATATCTTTTCATAAATCCTCCTGCCTCATTCTCCTCTCCATCTCCCAAGGTGAACCCAGTCAGTGTTATGTTTTTGATGGTGACGGTGTGTGTGAGGAGTTTGAGCGGGGTTCCAGCGTTCAGGACTGTGGTTACTTCACACCTTTGGGCTACACAGACCAGTGGGCATCCACCGCCACTGCTTCTCATCAGGATCCCAACCGCTGTCCTGCCCATGCTGTCACTGGGGAGCCATCACTTACCAAGGTATGAAGTACGAACCACAGGGCACATAAAAGACTTCCAGATGACAATAAACTCCCCATGGAGGCCATTGTGGAAACCCTCAACTCTGGAGCAACAATGTTAGCAGCTGGCTGCATTTCTGTATGTATTTATCTCTGTACTGTTTTGGTCTGGGTCAGCCTGACATTTTGGCCGTAAAGTTGACCCAGTTTATTAATGCTCCTGCTTGCAACCAAAAGCAATACTTGATCAACCACCTAAATCCTCATAGAGGGCAATATCCAGAACCAGAAGGAGATGTACCAGAGCCTGTTCAAAATGTGCCTGTTCAGAACATGGAATTTGCCTAACCTTGGGTACTGCTGCTCTCCGCTTTCTTGAGAACTGCTCATCCAAACCACTTCTCACTCCACACTGGCTTCCTTGGGTCCTGCCATGACATAGTTGCGTTCCCTGGCAATGCTAGATTATAAGTGCCTTTTGCTCACAGATAGCTATTTAGGACCAGGCTATTTTCCTGGGACAAAAGTGTTCATTCTGAAAGTTGCATTGCTGATGCTTGAATTGTTTGAGTTTGCTACACTGTAACGTCTGCGGTCTCCGTCTCTTCATCTGTTCATGACATGGATGTATAGATAGAACTGGATATGGCATCCATTTCCGAGTTCCAAATTACCTTAATCTTTTCCATATCAAGGCTCATAGAGCAAGTGCAAGAGAGAGACTTCTGCCAGCTGAGCTGCTAACTTCTGGTTCAGCCTAAACATAAAACATAACATAAAAAAAGATTTAATTATGCGGCTCTGCTAGACATTAGAAATGTCTTCAGACCCAATGGATCAAATTCTAATAGCAAAAAAAATCAAAACATTTTGCAGGGGTTGTGACATTAAAAAAAATGTATCCACTCATTTATATACATCTGTTTCTAAATGTAAGTCTATGGAAAAAGTCTTTTTGAACCCCATGGAATCAAGCGACGGACCTGGAAGTTGTAATTCCATAGTTTGGCCACTGTGTCAAAATGTCTGTAAAGCCAGATGCTGTTGCTGAGGGTTTGGTTTTTGAGTGTGCTGTGGCGGGCAATGCAGAGCAAGCTGTACCCAGCATGCCATTCAATGGTTTAACAGTTAATAGGGGTCCCCTGTCAATACACTACACAATGTGTACATAATGCCATACTTTAAATATCTCCTACAGATGTCAAGAGCTTGCACTCTACACTGCGCTTCCTTAGGCCCTCAGCAATATGCCCACCAAGTGTGAAGTCGATTGGATGAACAGTTGTTGAGAAAATCGAAGGACAGACAGACAGAGACTCCTTCCATTTTAGTTAGATTACACTTTATTTTCTACTAACAGCAAGCTACAGTCAAGAGAAAGAATGGTTCTGCTGCTGAGCTTTGCCAGCCCTGATGCAGGGCCATTGTACCACTGTAAATGTCATAGTCCCGACTGGTTACACCAGGAAATATTGAAATATTGACCTGATAACAAGTGATGCTTTCTGCATCAGTTCTGGAGAATTCACATTAAATTCAGGACTTCTAATGGAGTGCAGATACAGTAAACTCCATAAAAATCAATAAATGTAAAATTCAAGATGAGAAGAGAAGAGCCTTGTTTTTAACAAGCAAATGTGAAAAGGGACTAAAAAAGGATAAGAAAGCTACACGGCAGAATTGAATTGCAAGAATGTAATGAGACGGTGAATCAGTGATTAATAAAAAAAGTATTTTTGTATTGAGAGACGGAAGCTGAGCAGTGGTTGGTAGGACAAGCCTGAAAAGGAATGGCTTTGCACATAACTTTAGAGGACATTTTGGCAGGACTTTGTATGACAGCACAGCAGCTTTGAGTACAGCACAGCTCCCTTCTTTCTTTTTACAACTTTAGTACAAAATACATCGATCATTTTCCAGCTCCAGCTTCCCCTAAAAAACGTCTGCAATTACATGAGATCCATCACCGCTTCCAAATTATATCACAGTTTTAGAAATGTGCTCACATCACCCTTGCTGCTCAACACAATAGGTCAGTTGCAGAGTAGCTCAGCTGGGCAAAGAACATGATTTAAGCCACTTTTATCATGGGAGGATTGTTGGTGTCAGACACACTGGTTCCAGCATCTCAGAGCTGGCAAATCTCCCAGGAGTTTTCATGCTACAGTGTCCGTATGAGGAAAGGTGCAATAAACAAAACAAATCAAAGTGTCATGAATAAAGCCAGCATGGCCTGTCAAATGCTTCACTAGCAGAGACTTTGGGCTCTTTTCAAGGCACAAAATGGGCAAATAGAATTCATGAAATTAGCACAAAACCTGTAATTCAGATGATATGAAGATTATATGAACCTTCCATTGTTACCCCATGACGTGGAATATGTGATGAAACCAATAAAACCAACAAGATAAAGTTTTTACATAAAATATTTGTCACATTTAAAGGTCAGCTAAGGTCACATTACCTTTCGGATAAACAAAATTACCTACAGTTATGTACCATATAATTAGTGTGTATTTCCCTGGTTCTGTGTGAAGCTCTGCAGGTACCAGCACCTGGAGGTGAGTGAGAAAGTGCCTGCAGACACCTGGTTCCCTTGCACAGCCCAGTCTGACACAAATAATGACCTGGAACATTCATTTTGGCTGAAGGTACGAAATATGTGTGTGTGCATGCACGTATCTGTTTTCCCCTCCTCCGAATGTCTGTGGGTGGCTACTCTGTCTTCAACAGTTTCCAGCACTTTCCAATACTTTTTTAAATGGGGTTGAAGGGCCTCTTACACAGTCTGCTGGCTTTAAACCTCCACACACGCACACATTCCTAATGTTCTAACAATTGCATTATTCATATGATTCATTTTTTACTTTAATTACTCATTTTCCAGGACAACTGTGAATTATGGGTACTAATGATCTGTAGATGATTACAGTGACTAACCCTATACTTATTCTTTTTTTGCACTTGTGCATTCTGTGCTATTTTTTACCCAGTGCGTACTAATCAACAGAATCACTCAATAACAACCAGTTAAACTAATAGTGGAAGTGTTATACAATTAACTCATCATTCATAATTAAATACTTAAAAGGTTCACAAGTTATTCAAATACTGGCATCTTGAGGAATAACAGTAATTTTATAATCATAAATAGATCATAATGAATATATTATCTATAATCAGAATTTATTATGGCCTCAGAAAACGCAGAGCAACAAAAACATTAATTATCTAATCATTTAAAATTGATTCTCAAATATTACATTATCATTAGCTAATAGTTTGTTTGTGATTATAGAATAGAATAGAATTGATGATATTTGTGTTTTTTGTCAGCGTCGGCAGAGAATTACAAAAGCAATTAGGCATGATCGTATGCCTAATTGCCCTGCTTGTCTTTGCAGCACCATTATTCTCCAGCCAACAGTGCTTCACATAGATGTCTATGTGTCTGTATGTTTGTGTACTGCACTGTATTTGGACCTAGCTTTCCATTCCAGACCTGTGTCTGGTTCTCATATTTAGTTGTTTTGCATTATTTACTCTTTCCACAGCCACAGTTCCCACAATCAACTCTGCAGGTCCAGACTAAGCGTAGGCTAGCTGTCAATTTGAGTGATAGCTTCAAAACCTTGTCCGTCGTGCTCTGGGTTATAGGGTCCTTAACAATCACGAGTCTACATCTTTCCTTCCTCACACTCATTTATTCAATTTTTTCTTTCTCTCTCATCATTTCCACTTCTTTGTTGAATGACTCATCTTTCCATCCCCTGCTTCCTTTATGGATGCTCTCTTTATCAGGCACATCTCTGCAACCTCTCTGGAAGGCCGCCTTCACCCTAAAGACTCTTTCACCGTCTGAAAAGCCTTCATGATAACACCCATATCTGCCAGCTCTCCCTGAAACACCTCTCTTTCCTTGAAGTGTTCTTTCTGTGTCTGAAAGGCCTCCCTCGCCTTAAATATCTAGTCTCTACTCTGTCTGAAAAGCGTTCCTCAGCCTCCCTATCATATCCATCTCTGCCAGCTCTCTAAAAGGCCTCGTCTCATTTAACAGTTCTGCTTCTACATTTGGAAGCCCTTCCACATTTTCTAAAAGTGATACTCCAAAATCCATCTTTTGAGTATGAAACACTCACAGTCTGTAGGCTTGACAGGTGGCTGTGAACAGTTGGAGTCCCATCACAGGAAACGGAGGCCAGGGTTGACTTGGAATCACTGCAGTTACATTGAATTTCAGTCTTAACACAATTACTATAGCGGCCCTGCAGCATAATGTGCCAGCACCCACCTCTTGCTTTTCCTGTGACAACTCAGTGGCCCCCCTGACAAATCTACATCAGACTTTTTTTTATTTTATTTCATTTATTTATGTTGAATCCCCTGTTTTCCTAATTTGTAGTGCCCATTTTTTTGTCACTACTAATAGCAGGGGAGGACTCCAGACAGACATGTGCTACTACCATGACACAACGCATTATCAGCCACTTTTTTAGCGGCCACGGGGAGCTCCACAAGAGCTTCACATAATCTCTGTCTCTATCTCACAAAAGCTCTATTTCACACTGTGCAAGTCACTGACCAGTCAGAAGGATTTGCTAGTACAGCGCCAAGGACAAGTGCCAAGAACACAACCATGAACCACTATGTTAATAAGGAAGCACAAGCAAGAAGGGTCAGGAATCTAACTAGAGTCAGTCAGGTCTTCTCTATTTATAAACAATTTGATTGCCAAGTTGAAGGTATAATGCAAGAATGAAAAAAAAATTAACTCACATTAAAGGATAACTTCGGTATTTTTCAACCTGGGCCCTATTTCCCCATTTGTACGTATGCGTATGATTCATAGGTACAACTCATTCTAAAATTGGTTCAGTATTGAGGGAGCCGGATGCAGCCGGAAGCCGCGAAACAAGCTAAAACGGTAACAGGGGCAAATGCGTTCCGTATAAGTTTGCGCATTAAAGGTGCTTTTTTTCGCCACTGTCTGGTTCAGATCGCCAGTGTTATCTCTGTATATAGTATAGTAAATGTTTACCTTACCTCTGGACTGTGTGTGACATCATCTCGCGAGAGCTTTGCTCCACTGTGTCTGTAGCTCTCTCTACTCGTGGGACAGCCGTTTTCTTGAGGAAGAGGTGTTTTGGGATTGGATGTCTTCTCTTCTTCGGCTGGCAGTAGTCATCTTGGGAGAAGTGAGCACTGCAGACCCGATGGTCTGCAAGGTGCTGTGTCTGGACAGGAGTGTTAGCATCCATTTGTAGCACAACTAGCCACAACTTGTCACGTGTTGCGTGACATCCTGTTCTTGCAATTCGGATAAACACAAACACGAACCATTGTTTTCAATCGATGCAGTAAAACTCTAAGCTGTACTCCGGAACAACCAGCGCCACTCGGAGCGGCGCTCAGCATGGCTCCTTGTTTTCTTCTGGCAACAAGCAAAGCTCTTGCGAGATGACATCACAGCCCAGAGCAAGTGAAGGGTAAGGGAAACGTTTAGTATGCTATTTACAGAGATAGCACTGGCGATCTGAACCGGTCAGTGGCTAAAAAAAGCACTTTTAATGCGCAAACTTATACGGGACGCATTTGCCCCTGTTACCGTTTTAGCTCGTTTCGCAGCTCCCGGCTGCATCCGGCTACCTCAATACTGAACCAATTTTAGAATGAGTTGGACCTATGAATCATACGCACACATACACATGGGGAAATAGGGCTCACATTTGCCGTGTTACCAAAAATTGAGCATAGTGTTAATTCAGGCAGGACACGATGTCAAGCTCAGATCATATCCCAGCTGCATCAGCTAATCTCAAACAGCCAATCAACTGATGGAGCAGCTGATTGATGGAAGGGAGTCAGCTGATTGATCACATGGTTCCTGTCTGTGCAACCAATTGGCGAATCTCATTCAGGGCACCATATTTAAACTGTTCTGGCCTGCCCACTGTTGCTACTTCCCCTGTAAGCCGCTTTGCAGCACGCCTCCACCCCAGCTCCTCTTTTCCTTGCTGTGTGTGACTTATCAATGTCATTTCCATTTGTCATTGATGCTGGCTCTGTTCTGTTCCTGGGGAGGGAGGGGGGGGTCTTTGCAGCTGCTCTCCCTGACTTAGGCTTTCCCTGTAGGTGCATGGAAGAGCAGGGAGGTTTCCTCGTTTGCACGTTGAAGGGCAGAGAGATGTGCTCTCTCTGCCTTAAGGATTTCTACGTAAGCGCATGGAAGGGTGGAGATGTGTGCTCTCTCCGCCTTAGGCTTTCCACATAGGTGCGTGGAAGAGGCTTTCTGTGTAGGCCCTAGGAAAGGCAGAGGGGCCCCAAAACAGAGCCATAATGCCAAATATAATTCTGCAAATGGAAATAAAGTTTTCTTTGACTAAAGCGTTCCTGACTGAACTGTATTTTTATGTACATTTTGAAGTGTAGCTGTATAGAGTTGTACTTTTGCCTTTGTTGAAAAGAGTCGTATAAGTTTTGACATAGCAAACATTTAACTTAACAATTTAACTTACATGACTGACCAGCTGTTTCCACTGTTGGTGTGAACCAACAATTTAGTAGCTGACATAAAAGAAAACTCAAGCTTTCATTCACCCTTCATTATCCGTAATCACGATTAGATACTATCACTATCCTATTAAAGGTTGCGGGTTTTGCATGTTTTATTTTAATGTATTTCTCTTGTAAAGCACATTGAACTGCCTTGTGTATGAATGGTGCTATATAAATAAAACTGCCTTGCCTTGCCTTGCCTTGCCTTGCTGGACGCTGGAGCCTATCCTAGCTGACAGAGGCGGGGCACACCCTGGACAGGTCGACAGACTATCACAGGGCTGACACATAGAGACAGACAACCGTTCATGCTCATATTCACACTTATGGGCAATTTAGAGTCACCGGTTAACCTAACCTGCATGTCTTTGGACTGTGGGAGGAAGCCATAGAAAACCTACACTGACATGGGGAGAACAAGTAAACTCTTCACAGAATTAAATACAAATAAAACTTGCCCTATTAAAACAGATTCCTGAAGACCTTGTTGATGGGTCAGATGGCCGAGGCAACTTTTTTGTTTCCAGTTCACAGCCTCTACTTCTTCTACAAGTCAACATACTAACTTCACAGTAGGACTTTTTCTTTGTTTTTCTTGCAATGACAGGTGGGATTTGTCTATCCTGGAGTGGCAGCCTCTGTGATGGTGTACCTGGCTTCAGATGGGTCATGGTCTGGAGAGCAGTGTCGGAGGACAGCCACTATCCTCCTGTCTGATACAACTGGCAAGAACCACTCACTAGGTACTTTTTACTCATATTGATTTGTATGTATTGGGTTGTTTTTAAAGTAAGATAAGTCTATGTGATAAAATCAAACCACAGAATGGGCAACAAAGTATAAAAGACTGTTGGTAAGGTTACAAAGTAAAGGACTACTTGAAACCTTTCCATCTGCCTAGGCACACATGACCTCTCATGCCATCGGAACCCGTTGGTGGTGAATGTGACCCACGACCTCTCTAGACCCTTCTTCATCACGGCCGCTGTTATTCTCCTCTTCTCCTCCCCGTCTGTGGCAGTGGGAGGCGTGGCCCTAAGAACTTCCTGCCACTTCAGCACCTTCGCCCTGACCGGGTGCGCATCAGAGGGTGGGCTCTCCCACATCTACCTACTTAACACACACACGCATGCTTTCACACACACACACACACACACACACACACACACACATAGCCTGTCACTAACTGTGTCATACAGTGCCTGAAATATTTAAAGGTACAGTGTGTGAGATGTAGGGGGATTTTGTGGCATCTAGCAGTGCAGACTGCAGATTGCAACCAGCTCAAATTTCCCTGGTAGAATTCCTTTAGTGTTCATTGTCGAAGATAAGCTGCTAGACTAGCACCTGCTAATGCATGCTCACCTTTTTAATACAATAATTTAAGATCAAGAAATTCAGGAGATTTTTACTGGGAGCTGAATTATCTGCAGAGGTCCCTTCCTCTTCAAAACAAACAGACCCGTAATTTAAACTGGTAAAATTGAACAAAGCAGTTTCATGTTGTGTTTTTCTGACTGTCTCATCGCAGATGGGCTCTTAACTATGGTGGCCTACGCGAAAACTTGAATGGCCCTATCTAAAGCCCTTGTTTAGTTTGTCCATTCTGGGCTACTGTAGAAACATGGCAGTGCAACATGGTGGCATCTCCATAGATAAGGACTCACTCCCAATGTATATATAAATGGTTCATTCTAAGGTAACAATGTTATTTTCAGATGATTATACACGAAAGAAAACATAGCTATTATATTAAATTCAATTTCTGTCAATATATTCCCCTAAATCGTTCACACTAGACCTTTCATATTCTCATTTAAGCAAAGAAAAATTTTGAGTCTAAATTCAAACATAAAACAATATATAAAATGCGTATTATCAAAGGAATATGCCAAGTGTTTGGGAGTTTGACAAACTGGTTTTAAAAATAGAAAAACAGAATTGTTTTGGTGTACCGTCACAGTAGTCCATGCTAAAAAGAAAAAATACTCCATACCCACAATGCAACTCAACCATTTAGCCAGAGCTCTAGATGGGTTGTGTGGCTAATTGAGCTACTAGCCTCAAAAGAGAGATGGAGCGAACTACAGAGAACCTCACTTCTTTCTAGCTCCACAACTCCAGATTTTTAAATTTGTAGTCTTCAGCTCAACTCACGCTGACTCAGGTGACATCACATGAGGCAATTTATCAGATTTCATGCAGCCCCCTTTAGAGTGACAAAAGGACTTATTAAACTTTTTTAATTATATATTTATTAACATATGCAGTAATATTACCGAAGACCTAGAATCAAACTTTGAGATGTGAAATTGGTGAAGTTTAGTTTGGAACCACACAGGTCTGCGAGCCCATGTTTATTTGCTCTGGCAGGTACATCTTGCCCCCTAGTTCAGACAGATTTGTAGCCGACCTGGCCTGGGTCAGGCCAATCACAACCGTTTACCTAAGGTTTGATGCAATGACTGGCAACTTGTGGAGCCTTCATGCTTATACATAATTTTTGTCATTCTTGGCTTGAGCACCCTTACGTCTGGGACACTACGGCAAGCATAAACCAAATGTGTCGAAAGGCATTTTGATCAGCAGGTGTTTATAATGCCCTTGGTAATCGATAATGAACTGAGAAGGGTAATGCCAGGGCAGTGGAGTTCATCTTTACAGTGTACACTATAGTAGGAAAAAGCGTTTGCAGTTTTTTTAAACATAAAGATGTATAAAGGATACATGTTCAGTCTTGGCATTAGCAAGATCCACAGGATGGTATGCTATATTTTTTTTGGTGAACTGTTACCATAAAAGGTCAATTTCAAAACTGACAGTCTCCCTAACCCTTGGGGTATTCATTTAATTTGACTGAATTTGCTTAACTGGAAACAGTGAAGCCTCCTAGTTGCTTGTCTCTCCCTGCCTCTCATTCCTCTCCTTTTCCCTCTCCCATATTCTCTCCATCCCTGAAATAGCTGTTTGCGGCAGCCGTGTCAGATGGACAGCTGCAGTCCTCCCCAGTTAGAGCATGCCTCTGTCAGGTAGGCCCTTTGAAATGAAACACTGAACAATCAGAGAGCTGAAACAACAAACAAAAGAACTATCTATATATCAGTGTGTCTCTGTAGGTGTACAGGAGGAGGGGAGTCCTCTCACTGCTCTGTTCAGTGTCACCGTGGTTTCACTATCTCTGTCCTCAACAGCAAGGGAACCCAACCACACCAGGTACACTTTGTTATGTGTTGCACTGCTGAAATCACATCATAAAATGTTCTTTTACTGCTAAGTTATATTCCAGTTATTTACTGATAAAAACTATGCATTGGGATTTAACAGAGATGTAGAGGGGCAGCACCAGGGTTTCAGGAGAAGGACAAACATGACAGACATAGGGCTTTACGTATTTTCATCCAACAAATTCTAGAGTAGTACTACAATAATTTGTTCCACTATTTGTAACATTTTGTTTTCTTTTACTCACTCAACATTTGTGGTCGCATCCACTTTTGCTTCCAAAAATACTGGGGTAACTCAATTACACCTCCTTGGAGTGATGAAGGAAACCAAACAGATTTTATGTGCTCAGTTTCACAGATGACATGGCATGTCAAAGAGGAAGTCCAAGAAACTGTCTCCAGAATTCAGACAGAATTTTAGGAATCATATGGGTAAATGCATGAACTCTAAAAGATGTATTTTAGGGAACTAATCAACAAAACCACTTCTAAACATTACAGAGGGGCAACGCAAAGGCTTGAATAGGCTAATTAGATTGATTGTTAAGGTCCTGGCTAGATCTCATAGGTAATTCGTTAAATCAGTTTTACTTTTTTAAATTTTGTGGTCACATTTTTAATACTTAACAAAGAAGATTTGATAAATACCTTTAGTGATATTTTGTATAATTAGTAAGATGTTTGAAAAAATAGGTGGCTTGTTTTTCTGTATCATCAAACCTTAAAAGGCATGTTTACAGGGCTTGTTGGCCACTTTTCCCTATTCCTTCTTGAAATTTTCTTTCTTTCTTTCTTTCTTTCTTTCTTTCTTTTCAGAGAGAAGCACACCTGCAGTGTTTCCATGGTTCGTGGGATCGTGTAGTTAGCTGTCAGCCTGTAGACTGCGGCCTGCCCGATCAGTCTCATGTCTACCATGCCATATTCAGCTGTCCCTGGGGAACCACCTTTGGCAAACAATGCTCCTTCACCTGTGGATCACCAGCTATACTACAAGGTAAGTCATGGATTTGTCTTTTTTACCCTATTCTAGTCCAATCTGTTTTATTCTACTCTCGTAGTCTAGTCTCTTCGTTAGCTATTAGTGTATTCTTGAGCGATTTTGTAATATGAACTTTGGACAATGTCCGGGGAAGTTCGGATGTTATCTGGAGGTTCCCTTTTACATGTGTAGCACACAACAGGAAACTGTCCTTGTCAAAAGTGTTTTCATCTACCTCTCTTTGGCGAGAGGTGGCACCAGGGTACAGCTGTCCCGTAGCCGGGTCGTGATTTGGTCATAATCAAAGACACCTCCAGTAGATCCTTGAATTTGTCTGCCAATTTCGGCCTTAGCTCTCACCGCTTCTTCACCCTCAAATGTTTTTTTTTCTTCCGGTTTTGCACTAGCCGCAAAACAGAAACGTCATTAACATGTTTGCTCATTGTGAGTTCTCTGAAAAATGAGCCGCGCTATTCACACATGGCCTCAATTGGACATTACGTAGACTTTATACTAGGAAGGAGGATAGAAGATAAAGTACGGTTAATGTCTGATCCAGCTGATTTGTACATTTGTGTTCTCACATACAGCTCCTTTAGGGAATGTCAACATCAATGGATTATGAACAAACAACTGTAAAATACATGGTCACACTTAATAACACCTTTATCAGGCTAACCATGCAAAGACGAAATTTTTAGGGCTGTCAAACAAAAACTGCAATGAATCTCTGAATTTCAATAGTCAATCACGATTGTTAACTTTGAATTATTTTGCATTTCAAAACAGTTTTGAAGTACTTTGCAATTAAATGAATGCAAAGAACTTTTTCATAATCTTGACTTTTAGATTTAGTTCTTTCATATCAGTGCTGCACTGCTACACCAGTGGTCACAACATGCCAACCTCAGTCTCCGATGATGTTAACTGGTCTGTAGTCAGTTTCCACCCATTTGGCAAGCACTGTAGTTAACTTCTTCAGAGTAGTGTTTTGTTGGCTATGGTGATGCAGTTGCCCGCTGAAGTCTGATTAGCTGCACCACCAAGTTGCATAGAACTTTTGTCAACTGAGCTGTCTGGGAGTTTTTTAAAGGGAACTGTGGCATTCAAAAGCACAGTGGTGTTGTTATTTTCCATCTCTGCGGCAGCAGGCTGCAGGAAGCCCCTGTGGCAGCTTGACTACAAGCGAGGGTGCATCAAAGGGACAAAGTAGCAGCATGCGATTAACATGATTTATAAAATATATGCCTAATGTTAAGATCTTAATCATATCATGATCAACACATTAATGCTGACAGCCCTACTTTTTTTCAAAGGTTTCCAAAACAATTTGCCTTAATGCCTCAAGATTATGATACTGTTATTATTTATGGGCTGCTGTTTCCAATGAGATCAACCAAAATTCTATGAGTTTCAATCAAACCAACAAAAGAGCCATTTAGAATTCGAGGAATCTCATTTGACGATATACTTCTTGAGTTTCTCATAATCATTCACATTACTTAATAATAGAGGTCAACAATGGGACCAGTCACTCAATAAACAATTGTTTAATGAATAGTTATGACCCACCTATTGACACTTAGAGCTCAGTCTAGTGAACAGTCAAACCACAGCAAGATGCTTCCACTAGTCAAAGTCCATAAAATGAAATGGACATTAAACCTTGATTTTACACAATTATTGTTTAAAATTGGAGGCCTGTTTTTTACAGGGTGCATCGTGTTATAGTTAAAGACAGTATTTAAAACAAATTAGTTTGAAAAACAGCTAAGACAAGGGGAACTAATCCACAGTGCTGCAATAAAATCAGAGTGGAAATGCCATTTACAAAATCACAACCATGTCTTCTCTCAATGAGCCTCGCTCCTCACAGTGCTTCTGTTTGCTTTATGGCCTTTGAATGTGGATTGAAGCTATTGAAATTCAGGATGTAAACTGAGAAATCTACACGGCATATTCCAGTTCCCTTCACACACACAGCCTTCTACTCAGATGTCCACAATGTTTATAAAAACAGGACTTGCACCATAATGAGTCAGAACAAATATTGCCCGTGGCAGCCATAATTAGGAGTACTACCACACACACCGAGATTCATAGGTACACACTAAAGTAAAAAAGCATTACCCCTCTTTGGTAATGCAAGTTATGCAATGCAGTATGCTTCTTGAAGTGATTAGATGGAACAAGCGTGATGTCCACACACTTGTTTGTGGTCGGAAAGCCACAGTGAATGCTCAAATGTCGTAGTAGAGTCAGCAGTTAGACCCATGTATTCATGATCTAAATACAGATTGCGCAGAAATAATTCTATTTGTGGCTTTTGGTTGAGTGAAATATGTTCGAAGGCCATCATGCATCACTCAGCAGTGAAAGCACACTGTGCAGTTCACAAGACTACACAGCAGTACAGCTGTGATGGATTTTGATCATCACAGCACAGTGTTTAAATAGCTTATAAAAATGTGATGCCATGTTAAAGATTCATTACATTTTATAGACCCATTAAAAATTGTGAAAGGTTTAGGGTGTTATGATTATCCACACATACCAACACTCATATGCTTCATGTGAGGCCATACATAGAAAATATTAGCTTTGGGCAACGTTGAAGATATAGTCTCCTTCTCATAACTGTATAAGACAGAGCCATGAAACGAAACCAGAATGTTTAGTGGGACAGAAATGAATCCATGACCTCTTTGTGCTTTTCCCATGTACATCTTTGGGTTTGAGTTGTATCAAACAGAACATATAACCTCTATAAACTGATTTTTTAGTAAAGCTAAAAGGCTACGCACCTCTTAAAGGAAGAAATTTTCCTCTGACATGGAAAGATGATTCCATGAGCAACGCATTAAGGGGTTTCCAGGGGTTTTGCTGCTACAGCCTCACTGGGTCTGGTATGCATACAGATATAGGTAGATATGTATTGCTGTGTAACTTACATTACTAAAGTACGGTGGATGATAAGGGCTAAACTGGTGCACAGTCAGACACAATGCTTATTCAAAAATACATAAGAAAATCCAAATCAAATACAAAAAGGGAACGGTGCTACAAATGAAAAACTGTGCTACAGAAATACAAAACCAATGCATTAATAGCAAACATGCTACAAATACAGGAACAATGCCAAGTCAAAATCACACAAATCCCCGAAAACAAATGCAAACAGTAAAACACTGCATATTCTGCCTCTAGGGGGAGCACTGAGTAAAACAGCTCTACTTTTGAGCCAAGACAGAGAGAGACCATACAATTCTAAACAAACAACAGATTCACACACTTTGACTATGTTAAACTGTTGCTCTTTTAGAATTTTATAAATGACAAAGGCTAAATGTAGAAACAAAGACATCCTTTTTATGATTTCTCTTTACTCTATGGAAGTATAAAGAGACCTGGACACAGCATTGGAGGCAGAGCCTCGTGCATTCTCCTCTTATGAAAGTTGCTGAGTGATAAAACAATTTAATCGTATAACTCTTCAGGACTGGGGCGGCACGGTGGTGTGGTGGTTAGCACTGTTGCCTCACAGCAAGAGGGTTCCTGGTTCGATCCCGGGTGTGGGAGCCCTTCTGTGCGGAGTTTGCATGTTCTCCCCATGTCAGCGTGGGTTCTGTCCGGGCACTCCAGCTTCCTCCCACAGTCCAAAGACATGCAGATTGGGGACTAGGTTAATTGATAACTCTAAATTGTCTGTAGGTGTGAATGTGAGTGTGAGTGGTTGTCTGTCTCTATGTGTCAGCCCTGCGATAGTCTGGTGACCTGTCCAGGGTGTACCCTGCCTCTCGCCCGATGTCAACTGGGATAGACTCCAGCCCTCCCGCGACCCTCAAGAGGATGAAGCGGTTAGAAGATGAATGAATGAATGAATGAATGAACTCTTCTAGACTTTCTAAAATGTAATCAAACCAACTGGATAGTGAAACAAGTCATTTTGTTAGGTTGTGACGCTAACGAAAATGTATCCACTGATTTACAGACATCGCTTTCTCAATGTGAGTCTATGAAAAAAAAGTCTTTTTTGGCCCCATGGCATCAGGTGACAGACCCAGACAGTGTATTTCTACTTTTGGCCACTATGATAAATTGGCCTCAAAGCCTGGAACTGTTCCTGGGACCTTGCTTTGCTCCACTTTTCTTCCTGCTTCAAAAACAAACACTCTTTCATTCTTTCATCTTGTTTCTCTCTAGCGGGCAGAAAAAATCAAGCTGTTTTTACTCAGCACTCCCCCTGGAGGCCTGGAGAACTTCTGTTGTGTTGACTGTTGTTGATGTATTTTTGACTTTGCATAGTTTCTGCATTTGCAGTGTTATTGCTGTAATGTTTTTATTTTGGCTTTCTGCAGGACATTTTTTGTATGTGTTTTTGAATTGGCATCATTTAAGTAGCTGCAGCACGTCTCCTAATGGAAATATTTTGGGCTGATGTAGTGCATTAGCCCATGAATCTTCTATACTTAGTATGGTTACACTTCACTTTAGCATGTCACAGAGAAACATTTCCATTGTTTTAAAAAAAAGAATAAGAAGTTAAACCCCCCAAAACATGTTTGTTGTTTCCTGCTTGTGGTCCCATTGCTCTCACTCCCAGTCACGTCTTTCTAATAATTCACTGAAGAGAATCTCACAGTGGTTACTGTTCAGTCTCAAGAAAAGTAATGTCTGATACAATCTGCACTTTGGTTTAGGAGATGGCAAAATGTTGTAGATCTGTCCAAAAGTGAAAACTCACTCCAAATATCTCTTTAACTCTAACTTCTGATCATTCCACACTGGCGGGAAGCAGATTCTATGAACGTCATGCAACCATATCAATGAAAATAGCATTACAAAACAAATTGAATACATCAATATAGGTTTATACAGGTTTCGGATAATAGAGATAGAAATAGAAAAACGGAATATTGTCTACCAACTGTATTTTTCTTCTTAGCACAGTCGTGTTAGCTACTCTTTCCTTCCTCTGTACAAATGTACTCTGATACCCTGTTGAATTGAAGTCACCTTCTCCCCTCCTCAGGTGACAGTGACAGGTTGGTGTGTTTGGAGGACGGTCTGTGGTCTTTCCCAGAGGCCTACTGCAAGATAGAGTGTCCAGAGGTTCCAAACATACCCGATGCCAAGCTGCTAACAGCAGACTGTCTGGCCTCAGGGCACGATGTTGGCTCTGTCTGCCGTTACAAATGCAACCCAGGCTTCTATGTAGTCGGGAGCCTCAAAAAGAAGACACCGAGGTAAATGTTTTGGGACTGTTGGCAGCTCAGTGGACAGAAAATAGTACTACAGCTGACAGGGCTTTGAGAGGCATTTATACTAGCATCACTTAAATGAAAAATGTCTGTATTAATAGCAGTATATGGCACCGTAAATAAGGCAAATACTGTATAATCTCCTCTTTTGTTTCTTTCCAGTGAGTTTTCTTTTCTGATTGACACCTTTAAATCATCATTGAGATGAATTCTTTCAGGCAGATTATTTCTTTTTATGTACAAGGACATAAAAACCCTGCAAGAACAATGGAGACCAAAGTAAATGCAGTGTTTTATCACACAGGCCTCCCTGCGTAATGGAGGAAATTCCTTCTTTTCCTTTATTTTACAAGATTCCCATTACGCACTGCTTGATAAAATTAGGATTTTCTTATTTTATTTATTTTGATTTGGGTATTTTAAGCAAAAAAAAAGTTCAATTGTGCATCACATGACCACCCAAACCTCAAGGGCAAAGTGTTAAACATCGATGGGTACAATTTAAAGAGGCATTTTTCGGTCCATCGTCTGCTAAACTATGTTCTGTTTTGGAAAAAGCTCACATCAGGGTCCAATAAAACATGTACCGCTGCTAACTGGGCCTCATCAGGACTTAGCCAATTGTGTTCATTGGGTAACTGCTCATTACTGAACACAGTTCACATGTTGTTAATGAGATGAGGGTTTCCTAACAGAAGGAGAGACAGCCTTCAGGGTAAGTTTATATCCTGCTTTAGAGGGAGTCTTCACACATTTCACTGTATATAGTCGTATAAGTCGTATATTCTCCTCGCTGTCTTGAAGTGCAGTAAAAAACACAGTGTATCAAATATCTAACAAGCTGACTTTTACTATCATATGAGGCCAGTAATAAATATACAATTTATAGTTTTGTATACATTAAATTTCCATCCAGTACAGTGAAAAACTATCTCATGTAGAAATCAATTTGCAGCTGGGTATCTTTATGAGTTACGCTTTCTCAAACATATATGTGTAAACATTTTAATAACCCCTGATGCTTTATTAGTCCAACATGTGAACGTGAACAGCAGTAGCTATTAAAGAGCTTTAAACAGGACTTTTACTCTTACCTTTTACACATGTACCCACATAAATTTATATTGAAATACATACTGTTGCATTTACACGCTACATGCATCACACCGGAGATGTTTTTTTTACAATGGAATGGGCAGTCCTCAGCACTGTGTATGTGTTTGTTATTGAAATAGTAAAAGTAAAATGGGACAATAGAGAGGCTGGCAGGGGTATAGAGTGCATGTGGTTCTACATGGAGTTTCTTATAATAGACCTCAATATCCACAATGTTTCTGTAATAAATGTGTCCACTCTGGTGCTCTCATTCACCAAAGATCCAACACAGTAGGGTATTGTTTCTTAAAGTGCAGTCTACGGGCCAGTGGCGGCCCTCAGAAACATATATATTAATCATCTGCAGTCCATTTCAATACTGTCATTTTCAATAGCTTACATGTAATACACTTCTTGGCCATCAAACTGTGCCCCCATAACAAGCATCTGTCAGGTTAGGAATGAAAACTTGTAGAAAGGTGATGGTTGCATGGCAACTAGTGGCACCTTGCTAGCATCATGGTAATTATGTTCTGCCATTAATGGAAGTGCTTTTAGTGATTTTGGTGGACAACTCTGCATGTGCAAGTGAGATGGAAGACATATTATGTGTATTATGTTTCCTTTTCCTGTGCAGCCCTCAGTCACATGCTGGCTCCCTTATTTGGCAACTCAGTCATCATACCTTTGAGAACCCATGCAATAGGGCTTTAGTCACCATTGCATTTTAATTTTGTTCTAAACTCATCTGTCAGATTGATCATATCTCTGAAACATTCTCTGGTAAAAGAACAGTCAAGGACTGATCATGAACCAGCAATGAAGAACTTGATATTTCTATGGAATGAAAACAGTGTCACAGTACTGGCTACACACGGGCCACCTAACATCAGTTTTTTGCCAATTATGCATGCAACTGAAAAGTTTTAGTTGTTTATGAACTCCTCAAATGTAATTTAGATGCCATCATTTGCTCCCGTTGTCTCTAGGAAGTACTTCAAGCTGGAGTGCCTGGAGGGGGGGCAGTGGGAGGAGACTAACTGTGAGCCAATATCCTGCCCAGCCCTACCTGATGTATTCCAGGGCATGTATACCTGCACCAGTGGCCAGTACTATGACACCCTCTGCACCCTGCAGTGCCCAGATACCACAGAAAATGTAAGATTTCCACAGCTGTCCATCTATTCCTCAGGTCAAATAGACAACACGTCCTCATACCTAAACGACACAAGAGATCGTTCAACAATGTCTCCCAGAATGACATATATGACTTAATGGTTTCAGTTTTGAACACATGGTTAAAGTGGTTTCGGCAATAAAACTACTTGGTTAGGCTTAGCAAATGTTTTATTTTGCTTAAAATAGGTTAATATAAGTACATTATGTTACATTATTTCAAAGAATTCAACTTTGTTGGTTGCACGTGACATGAACAGTGGTCTCCTGGATCAAAGTCCTGTGTTTGTTTGACCCATCCATCCACCTAACCTCCTCCCTATGTAGACTTTGTCGCTCTGCATACCTATAGACTGTGTAAAATAATGGATGTAGCCACTGTGATATCACTCACTGGTCTGTAGACTCTGTTTTGAAGCCTCGAGTTTGGAATCTTGTCCATCGCTGGATTTTTGGAGCCAGAAGTGACCATATTTAATGATAAAGTGGAGCTGTGGAGGAGCAAGGGGTGAATCTGACTCAGATTGTGGTGACGTCTTGCAAACAGCCTGTCATTTAAGCAGCCATGCCCTTAATTATGCGTAACTTTACTTAATAGAATTTAAATAGGTGACTTTTATATAATTTCAGTCTTTGTACAGTTGTCACAAATGGGAAAATTAGCAATAGAGAACAAAACTTATTTCATACCAGGCTCTAAATGTGTTTATTTTGTACTAAAAAGTTGGGCATTTTATTTTGGGTGTCTGTGAGGACTGACTCACTTTTGGAACCAGCCTCTAGTGGCCATTAGAGGAACTGCAGTTTTTGGCCCTTCTGCGTTGGTTTCAATGTTCAGCCCAGTACGTTGTCGCTTGTTTATACTGCTTCACCTAACTTTCTCATTTGCTCCCGTCACAATTATTACGGCCACTAGAGGTCGCTGCATACCAATAAACGTTAATATGGGTCGTCATAAGCTGCTTGTACAAACTACCACTGGGGTTGTGTGGTGAGGACAGTCTTTTTTTTATTATTTTTAGTCACATCATTATCAACACAGTCATGTGACCTTTAAGTCAATATTCAATTGGACAAGTTCAGACACTCAAGTCCTCTATGCTGGATGCTATTAAACTTGGTCATGACTCAGAAAAAAAGAGGCAAAGTTCTAAAGGGAGACGCAGGTTGGATTACTGTGAAAATGTATCCAATTACCTTAACATCTTTCCAGTGACTTAACGTATTTAGACGAACATTCTTCTTTATAAAATATACTGATCCAAATGGTCTAAGTCTGCATTCAAAAATAAAATCAAGTTTAGTTTGATGTCAGACATGATCCTCTACAGCCATTCCTCTCAGGACAACAGACACCACATAAACTGCATGCCCAGCAGCTGTGGTTTTAGCTGCAGTCATGCATCACTGACACCTTGTCGTGTTCATGTTGCTGCACTGCTGTTGTGTTTCTATTCCAGACTTTAAGTGGAGTCATTTTTTGAATAGCCCAGCAGCACTCATGCGGCGTAAATGAAGCATCAGGGAACTCCTACAATGGCTGCCATTGTAAATGTATTTTTTTTTAAAAAGTGCACTTCCACCAAGTTTCCCCAGACATGGTCAAACTAGTTCTAAAATATGTGTTCTTATACTGGGTGCCATCTCTTTATTGAAGCCACATTTAATATGTGTGTTAAAAAGATTTTTAGATGAAAGCATTTAAAGTGGTTTTCATGAAGAAGAATTTCATTTAATTTGAGAAAGAAAGTATTCATTTCACATCTCATGCATGTCTGTATAGAGAACTTCATGTTTACCCATGTAACTGCTAAACAATGTGAAATAATAATAGATTACCAAATTATGCTTGGAACTAAACTGACTAAATTAATGTTTTCCCAAACTGTTTCTCTTGAGCTGTGTGTGGAGCAAACGTGTAGGCCTCACATAGTTCATTGATGATCACAATGACTTTTAATATTTTTGTGTGCTTCCAGAAGGAGATTCGCTGCACTAAGGAGGGTGAATGGACCGCAGAGTTCACCATGTGCTCCAAGCTCCAGGGATCATGCTCTCCTCCTCCCGATCTCAACTCTGTAGAGTACAGCTGTGACCAGGGGATGGATGTCGGTGAGTGTAACCTTCCTTTAGGGATGAGAGTGTAATCCATCAAAAATAAACAGTGCTGATTATATTCTCTTCCTCCTGTCAAACAAAATAAAGCCACACACAGTAGCCTGCCTGGGCTTTGGCTTGTCTGGTTGCACACTACTCCAATGAGCAGACGAAGCAATCATTGGCAGTAGAGCATCTTTTTGTCAACACTTATGCTGTTTCTCCTCTTCTCACACCCATTCCTCCTCCACTATTGAAATTTTTTGGTTGACAAGCTCATACCTTATCAAATACTTTGATTCAGTCCAGATTCAAGTGAAGACAGTAGGTAAAAAACTAAAAGGCTTGGTTTATAACCTCTGAAGTTAAAATAACAAATAGTCATGTCTTATTTACCCAGCTATGAAAGCGACAACAACAACAACAACAACAACAACAACAACAACAACGTTTCTTATCCCAACTTGTCCCACAGTGATGGTGGTAAACAAGCGTGGTCAATGACACCACAGTGCTATTTCATTTGGTAGACATATCCCATGGCTCTCTGTTGTGTGTATTTTGATGCAGATCTGTATTCAAATGCAAATTTAAAAAAATCTAAAAATTTTTGTTGTTACAATACTGAATTTTTGTGCAGAATTTGAAGAGGTCACACACTCTGATGGGCAAGTTCACAAAGAATGGATTGCAGGTGCTGATTAAACGATGAATTGTGCATAACTTGCAGCTGCCCCTTCTCAAGGTCCAATTTACAAAAAAAATGGGCCTCATTCACAAACAGCGTGTATGCACAAATCTGTGCTTAAACTGTGCATACCAATGTTTTATGCACAAATGTGGGATTCATCAATATTTTCTTACCTGAAATTGTTTGTACTCTGCAAACAAACGTACAACTGCCTCAGACCATGCAAGCACCCAAATGATGTAACTCATGAAGACCTGGCTGTCTCAGAAAATGTAAACATACACTTTCAAACCACATTCATTTATAGACAATATTAAAAACCTTTAATTGACAAATACATTTGACACCCTTTCATTCTCATCAATTATTGTCATAATTTAAATATTCAACTGTAAAAACTGAGCGTATCAGTCTACAGTGTATGAGAATGGCCATATTAAAGAGTTATGGTTTTCATTATTTGTATTTATTCTCCCTGTAATATTGACTACTCCAACCTATATTTTACCTTATTTTACTTTTATATTACCTTTATTAACAGGCATGCAGGGTGTATAAAATATTCATATTTACTTCCAAGCACATGTTAAGATGGCATATCTAACCTTGCTGGAAGATATTGCAGCCCGTGTTTTTAGAAAAATGAGTCACTAGCTAATGGCCAACAACTAGCGAGACATTCACAGACACTCATTGACGGACTGACACTTTTGTGTCACTGCCTTAATATGTGTGTAGAAACAACTTCACCGCTTTCTCCATGATACAGCATTGAGGAAACATATTTCCTTATATAGAGAAAAGGGGCGTGACATTATGCTAATTTGCAGCGGGCACATGCCTGTCAATTTAGAATAATTGTGATGCACTACCATAACAAAATGGCCGGTGCACGTGCGTCATGAATCTGAAAATAATTTTGCGCGTGCACTCATTTATGCGTGGAGTAAGAACATTTCTAGGCATTTATTAGTGAATGAGGCCCCTTGTGCTAATGGTATTATATACGCCCACAAAGTTTTGCAGCTGAGTGCAATTTGCATCTGATGTAGTTATCCATGTGGCAAAGTATAAATGTTGCCTTTGCACCAGGAACACATTGGGCAGAACAATCGCAGGGAGAAAAAAAAACTTAAAATTTTCAGATGTGAGCTGCAGTTCCTGACCGACAGGGTGCTTTCCTCAAAACTTCAGGCCAGGAATTTAAATGTGACAGAGAGAAACCATATTTGGGATTTCATATCCCAGTGTGTCAGTGCACGTCAGTTAACGCCAACTCTCTGAAGATACAAATAATTTTACTGTGCGTGCACGTGGCTATTAGCGTTGATCTTTGTGAATTGGACTGTTTTTGCATTGAGGCTCATTTCCATAGAAAGGGGCCAGTTTTGTGCCAAATGTATGCATAGTACCTCATTTAAATACATGCAAATAGCACAGAAGAACCGAGAGGCTATTCGCTTGGCAGTGCAGTTAGAGGTGCATTTCACCCTCTGCATGTGTAGGTTTAGAGGCCACAAAAGCCGCACAATCCTTTTGTGAATTCACCCATGAGTGCTATGTACTGTGTAAATCTGAGAGAGACATTTTTAGACATCTCATTGTACTGACCCAATGTAAATATACGTAAATTCCATACTCTACTTACTTAATATAGTACTAAATGAAGTTTGGAAGCATTTTCTACATTTGGGTGCCCAGTGTAAAATTAAATCAGCACAGTGCATGCTTAAGCACTTTGCATTTATGCATTTAATGTTTCTTGAACAGCCAACGCTATAGTACCTTGGCAGCATCCAACTGAAAAATAAATTATGATATTACACACTGGCAAGCAGACAGTACACGTGTTATGGAGAGTTTGTCAAGCTATAGTTGAATTAGATTGAATTTATGGTGGATTGTTATTAAAAGCTTTGTTAGTAAATACCAGAGGGAGACTCCTGAGGAACCAAGAGACATACACACACACATACACATATACACAAACAAACAGTTGAAGCCCCCTTAGTGGTGGCTGCCAAATGTCCAGACCAAAGATGACAGATGACGGTGTGGTCTGAAGTTATGTGGTCTGTTTTTTCCTCAATGTTTGAACATGAATAAATTCATCAGATGCTAATGAGTGTTAGAGGTAAGTGTTATTTGATTTGTATGTTATTTTCTTCCTTTTCCTTGCAGGTGCTGTTTGCTACCCAACATGCATTGTGGCACTGGACATGGATCTGCGTGACCCGGTGGTTCTGCCCAATGGCACTACAGTTGACTCTTTACAGCACTGGATGCTACCCACCAAAGTCCAGGTGAGACGCCTAAGGAAAGGGGTCAAGTTTGTTCTGTCTACAGCGATTCTATTTGAGTTTACTTAAGGTCACTTCAATTCTGAAATACTCACAAGTGAAAACAATAATGTGCATTTTTTTCTAACCTATGCCTAATTAAAATAATCTGTGTATATATACACTGTGATTTAACCCAAAGGTATTTTGTAATCTGTTCAGTTATCTTTTATTTAATAAGCTGAATTTAAGCAAAACTAAACACCACTAACAACCCATCCTTATTCCACAAATTCAAAAGCAGCCAACCAAGGGGAGTGTTTTCTATTACAGTTACACAAATAACATTGCCACACATACACGAACATGGATAGGAGACACATACTGGAGCAACAAATCTCTGATCTCTTCTTCTGTACACTGACTGTTTCTACTGACTGCTTGTTTGCTGACATACCAACAGAGTTTGGGCCTTTTACAACAGCAGCTTAAAGGCTGACAGTCTGTAAAACCTCTGAAACCTGCCCCACCCTTCTTTAGAAGTTCACATCACTGCCGACCATTTTTCAAACAATACCATACCATTTTAGATTAAGTTACTGCTTCCCAGACAACAACTGTTTCCTCTTAGTATGAAGGAGTAACTCAGGCAATTTGGTATTGCACTTCCATAAAGTTAGTAAACATGAGCGAGCTGAGTTTGTAAAATAAATCAATTTCAAAGCTACAGAGGTATCACAACCTTGCCTGGGAATTGCTGACATCTTTGACCTGAGATCAGAACCTGAGATTACTCATGTGATGTTACTTGAGTAATTCTCTCACACTTGACAAACATTACATATATATCTGTTTTCACAGGCTGAGCGGTTCTCATGTAACTTATAAATTGACTTTTACCTATAAAATTAGTGGTGTGTGCCCTTGAATTTCAACCGGCAGAACTGTAGATGACTGTTGCTTTAAATTGTATCCAACCCATCATGTTCTAAATGCTGTTTCAGAGGATTTTTCAGGCACTTAACCCAAGAAATAGCTTTTTGTTATGTCCATTGTGCTGATATTGTATATCTGAAAATTCATACTACCTACTATTGGTCACTTAAGTGCAGTTTTGTGGTGCTGTTTAACTAATCTCTATAACAGATATCTGCATATGAAACTGTACGCAACTGGCCAAGATTTTGGTATCAGAAGTGCTCTGGTTTCTGTTTGTGTATCATTTGTAGTGAGTACTATTGACCAATCACATTTGAGCAGGGTTTTTTTTTTTTTTTATTAAGATATTTTTTGGGTGTTTTAGCCTTTAATTGATAGGACAGCTTAAGTGTGAAAGGGGGAGATAGGGGGAGGGACATGCAGCAAAGGGCCACAGGCTGGAGTTGAACCCGGGCCGCTGCGGCAACAGTAGTGTTAATTTTATCAGCCATTTTTAAATTTAGTCTCAGTTTTAGTCTAGTTTCAATCGCGCTTGTTAGTTTTTATCACATTTAGTCAACCTCATCCCGTTTTTATTTAGTCAAGTTTTAGTCGACTATATGTCGAGCATTTTAGTCTTTATTTTAGTCCAAGAAAACATAATTTCATTTGTCTAGTTTTATTCAACAAAAACTGTCAACATTTTAGTCTAGTTTTAGACAGGACAATCATTTTATCATTGGTTGTTGTAGGTGTATCTTCAATCTGGAACAGGAATTAATACAATGTCAGGATAGATGCACAGGAAAACAGGAAATCCAAGTGTATAAGTAAAGCATATAGGCCTATTTTTTTTTTTTTTACTTAACAAAAACTGAGTATCTGTAAAAACTACATTTAACAATCCATTTCAAACTCATACTAAAAACATAACTATCCTATTTTATGCAGAAATAATTGCAGGCATTTTTATGTTTGCATGCATTTATTTATATTAATATTGATGCCAATTCAAATCAAATGTCCTTTTGATGGTAACGTGAAGACAAACAGAACAGCATTTTATGTCACCAAATAAATACATTGGGATGCAAACTCCTAGAGCAGTGGTTCCCAACCTTTTTTAGCTTGGGACCCCATTTTGATATCACAAAACTCTGGCGACCCCAGACATTCAAAACACAGACAATTTTACTTACTTTACTTTTATACCACATTTAGGCTATTTCATGTATGAAAATGTAGGTTAAAGTTGTTTTGAATTATGTGTGGCGTATTATTTTATTTTATCTAGATGAATTGTTTTAGTTCGTTTTAGTTTTTAGTTTGCATCCATGTGTAGCTGCCCAGGTGTTTTGTGTTAACTATAGTTCGCTTGCACCTCCTAGATTAGCTCATACTTTAATTAAACTTGCAATCCAACTGAAACCATAGTTGCCCGACCAGTATAAAGTATCTAAGTTAGCATAAATTCAACTTCACACACAATTCTATCAACAAGTGGCTACGGTCGCTACATGCTAAGAAGCTAACGTAAGTTAGCCAGCCACACACATTTATATCAACAAGTGGCTACTATCGCTACATGATACGAAGCTAGTAAGTTAGCCAGCATTAGTTTGCAGTCAGTTTAACGTTATTGTTGGAACATTATAGCCGTTGGTTTAATGTCACGTTATAAACAACCACCACCAAACTTTTTGTTAACTTACCACGATGTCTTTGTGGTGAACTGCGACATGTCTCTTCAGGTTTGTTGTGTTTTTTCCAGCTACCTTGTGCCCACATTCCTTCCCTTCGACTAAAATCAAGCATAAGGTTTTTTTCTCCACTTCAATGTAGCGAAAATGTGTCCATATATCACGTCTTCTCTTTCTCCCGGGCCCCGTGCAAAGCATGGCCATTAATGTTTTACTTTTAACCTTTCGCCATGAATCCACCTCCTGTCTGTCCCATGTGTTTGTGCACTCTCTGCCCACTGCAGATTTGAAAGGGGGTGTGTCACTGTGTGTGAGTGGCAGAAGAGCCGAGGAGGAGGAGGAGAAGGCGGAGGAGACAGGATTTGACAAAATCATATCATATAATAATATAATATAATTTTCGTCTCGTCTTTGTTCGTGAACTAAAATGTCCATTGATTTTAGCCCAGTCTATATTGAGTGAACTACATTTTCGTCTCGTCTTTATTAGTCCACGAAAATGCATACTGATTTAGTCCCAGTTATTGTTTATTAATGGGTGGTTTAGTCTCGTCTAGTCTAGTTTTCGTCCGGTGAAAAATGTGCGTTGACAAAAATATTTTCGTTTAGTTTTCGTTAACGAAATTAACACTAGGCAACAGTCTTGTACATGGGGCGCCTGCTCTACCACTAAGCCACCGACGCCCCACATTTGAGCAGGTTTTGGATGCATGCATGCAAACAGTCTGTGGGAGTGTAAAAGTCGAGTATAGTATATAGTCACAATTGCGTAATGTGACATAGTGACTGTCAGAACGGACAGAAATGTTGTGTAGTGTGAACCAGTCATAAAGATGGACAATGCGTCTCCACTTTCTCCCACTGTACAAAAATTAAGCCAAAATATCCCAAATATGGCCACTGCCATCTTGCGCCAGTGATGTGCAAGTGACAGAGTCTGTACAGCGGCGATCTCCAAGGTATTGAGTACCCACCATCTGACTACTCGTGAGCAGTACAATTGATTGCGAGCACACGGATTGGCGCACATAGCTGTCAGTCATGATGTCAAACCCCTGTTTTATAGCAAATAACTAATCAAAACAAATTTAATCAGAAAAACAAACCCTTGAGCGCACATCGGTGTGATACGAACTACCTTAAATGACAGAGGAAATTGTATTATCTTTAAGAAAATTTATTTGATGTGTACTTTGATCTTTTAGTTTTACCCATGGAGAGGGTGGGGTTTATGACCTATACTGCAGCCAGCCACCAGGGGGTGATTTGGATGTTTTGGCTTCAATTTTAGGGAGTTGTCATGTCGTCCATCATTATTTTATAGTTTATGAGTGGAACACATTTGCAAACATGTAATCACGGTATCCAACTCCATTCTCACATCCGAAGCATAATGACCAGCATATGGAAGAGGAAGTCTTGCCCAGATATTCGTAATCCCGATATCTGTTGGCCACACTGGAACTCCTTAATTCTTGGCCATTGCCCCCAGAGGCTAAATCGTTGTCAGACCAATGGGTTCCTGGGTTGCAGTTAGCAGGAGTCATAGTATGTATAAGTAAGTAAGTAAGTAAGTAAGTATATATACATATTCTTATATGGTTCAAATCAGTGTTCACTTGATCCATTTCAATAAAAAACAGAGCTTAGAGGAGGAGTGCTATACAGATCAGCTCACACAACTGGTTGCACCTGTTGCTAAGCTGTTTCATGTTGCATGATGTGGTGAAAAGTGAGATAGCTTGATTGGTTTAAATAACCACAACTGAGCAAGGGGTTGTGGTTTTGCTACCATTTGGAAACTCTTGGCAGGTTTCGTAAAACAGTTGTTGTTTTGCTCACTTGCTGCCATGCGACCAGCCCAGAGCGCCGTGAAAGGCGATCCGTTGACAAACAGCGCAGAGATTTTTACACAAAAACACCCATCAGAATGAATAATGCATCCAAACATCTGGTGGTCTGAACAACAGCATAGCATACACTGAGCTACTGCTCCAGACTGACTCACTGAGGCACACAGCTAAGTTCACTGTAGTTTAAGGGAAAGACAACTCATTTGGGGGACTAGAAAACAATCTAGATGATTTGCTGCCATGCATATATGCAAAAAAAATCACATCTCCTTGCTGTGTTATTTACCTGATACCTTCAGAACTCTTAATATTCATGTTTTTAGTCAGACATATTCAGCACTACGAATCCCCCCTCCGTGCACATTCTCTTACTCAGTCAAGCTCAGTATGTTCAGTGGGTTGCTACATTGTGCAAATATAATGGCTGGGAAACAAACACCAGCAAGAAAAAACTTCCATTGCCAACAACAGTGTGCTTGGCAACGGCATAAACTGACAACAGTAAGCTGAAAAGAAAAGAGTTAAACTGAGCCAAAGTCGGCATTAGTTTTGA